TGCCTCCGAAGATTACAAAACATTAACTTGCAAAAGTTTGCATATTTTGGTAATATTAACCACAATGATCATCCAGATATTGGCAGCATTAAGGGCTTGAATTTAAAGCAGCTCGTCTTGGTTTTCAACTTTCACCTGGACCCACGTGAGCTGAATAACTCACATGATGTCTCACAAATGAATCATAGCTTTCCCCTGTGACTCTTAATGACTCACAGGATGACAGAGTGGGTCAGATGTTCTCAAGGCGAGATTGCCAATAGGGGTTAATACCAGGCACTCTGCATGAACTTCTAGAGTTTTTGATAGTAGTGTCCAGTCGAGAAGAAAAAGACTGGCATGGTATTCTAAACCACTGACCTTAACAGCTATGGGAGGTGCTACCATAGTAAAAAAAAACAAACCAAAAAAAAGAAGAACCATTAGAGTTTCTTCCCAGTGAACGAATCTCAGTACGTGGTAATTTGGAATTTTTAATGACTTCTTTGAACTGTTCTTTTTCCAGGGTGGAAAGACTATACATCTTTCTGACTTTAGAAAAACAAGAATCTGTGTGCAAAAGTATTTGGGTGTATTTTATCGTTTTTATCATCTTCTTATGAGATTTGTTTTCTTTCTATGGACAATAGGTCATAGGAGATTGATTTAAAATACATACCGGCTCAAATAAATACACACTCACTTAAATATTTTAATAAGTGGTGCTGAAGGACCTACAATGTCTTTTAACTTGTCAAGGCCTATAACCTTCTCATTGCTACAACTGGTAGCTTCTCTTTACTACCATAAAAATAATTTGTTTGACACTCATAGGATTGACCAATACTCGGGACGATGGAAAGGTCCAAGGCGACCAAAAAGCCCAAAATACCAAAGTTTTGGCCAAAGGTGCAATACTGAGGTGCAACTTGCTAAGAGACATTTAATCAATTATTAGTCGGGATGTGAATGTATTTGGGCCTGCATGCATACATTTGAACCCGTGTAGATCAAATCCAAAATAAATTCAACCTTGTTCACCAATTCTTGTTTATTTTATTGATTGATTGATTTAAATCATCAAAGCTGTATGCTGCACAGTCATTCCACCCTGAGAAAAGAACAGCTTATATTTAAACTTCTGAGCACAACTGAAATTGTTCATGAAAGCAGAGTTTGAGATATGTTGATCCATCCTGAATGTGTGGTGAGACCATTCAAACATCCACCACAGCAAGAGAGAAAATACACACAAGGTATAGGTTTAAAAACTGCTCATGAGATATGACATTTAACTTAAATGTCATGTCTAAAGTTTGGCATTTTATAGAGCAAACCATATTGCCTGTGGTATTGTTTTCCACTGAACCCTGCTGCTTTGAGTGAGTCCATGTTACCATTTTTAGAAAATGTGGATGAGGCCTCAGCGCTCTTTTGTGGGCAACTTTCATCATTCATCATTTCACTTTCACCACAGCCCATTTGTCTGGTTGTGTTTAGCATTAAGAGCAAAGTAATTTTGTTCAATCACACTGTGCAGTCTGCATTTAGTCATGAGAAAATCATGCACATGTGGATCTGTTTCCACACTCACATAGTGCACAGCGAGACCTTCAGAGAATGAAAAGGAAAAGATAACATGACTGAACTAAGCGAGAAGACAAGAAATAACACAACTGTGAGAAGTGTGAAGTCATACTTACTAAATATTTTTATGTATTAAAGGTTGTCATAAATGTTTATATCAACCTATCATACCAGCCTTGAACTTGACCTTCGGGTACAAAGAACCACTTTATGGCACTTTAATTTTAATCTGCTATCTATATCCTGATAGCGGTTAACATTTGACCACCACAAGCAGCTGTTTCTTGGACACATGTATAAATGTCTGTTGTGATTTAACCACAATTCTCATGTTAGCTGTTGTTTATAACTGTTTGTAAAACCTTACTAGACCAACTGGCATGCATCAGCAGCATGCTAGTGTTTTATGGGAACAATTAAAATCCATAAACATAATATTAGTGGTCTTTTTCTGGACTCTAAAATAAAAAGTGGGTTGGGTCTACTAGCCATTTCATTTGGGACTAGCTCATGAGTGCCATCTACTACACCCTGAACTGCAGCCAGTTTCTTTAGACTGCTGTGGAGTTATTAGTACAAGTTCTCTCCTACAACTAATTTCACAGCAGTTGGTGACGTAATCACAACCTTTAATCTTTTGATTTGTGTTGCTGAACAGAACTATTCTTATATACAAAACAATCCAAATTTGGAGGTCAGGGAGGAGGAGGGTGTGGACGACGACTAGGTCATCTCAACTTTGATGCTATGTTCCGGCTTTTCACAAAGTTTAATGAAGTTCAGCTTTAGTTTGGGAGTTGACCAACAGTTTGTCAATTTTTTTTAGAATAATCAGTAATAATAATAATAATCAATAATCAGCAGAGAAACATATTGTCACTAAATATGATCCTATTAGTTAATAGTTTTTCAGTATAAAGTTCTTCTCTTCTACATTTTTTGTCATATTTTACTTTTTCCTTGCTAATTGTATCTGACACCTGTGGAGAATATTATTTCATCCAAAGTACTGTAAATGTTTATTGAATACAATGCATAGTCAAAGTCTAAAGGAGTGGGGTCTTTAGATCTTTTTGGCTTAGGACCTTCTTCTCATGTTTCGGATCTCCTTTAGTTTTTAACAAAGAGACGTTTCCCTACAAACTTCCCATGCGGTTTCATTTAACCACACGCCACAAGAATTTGAGGCACAAAGATGTAAAGTTATCCCATCTGGACGTAATTTTTACAAACTAAAAGATTACAGAAGTTGGCACAATCCTCCAACCACAGTGAGGAACCTAACCCCAATGTGGTGAACCAGAACAACCACTGGCATCGTGGCAAACAGAGGTGGTTTGAAGTCACCTCAGATCATAGAAGTAAATCAACGAGTTGCTAAAGACGACAGTACAGTTTGGACGTATTGGTTACTTGATTTGCACAGTTCCTATACGCTTGGGCTCTCCGAAAAGTCGCACAGCATGCATATATTAGAAACACATGTTTGTCTGACAGGGTGAACGGGTTGTGGAGCACAGACTTAAGATCTGGAATGTGATTGTCTGCTTCTTATTAACCTGCGGCCTCTTCATCCCTCCATCAAACACTCCCCCCCATTACCCCTCCGCGCTTCCTCTCAATATTCACCTGATATTGTTTTTCCTGTTTTCTTAGCATCTCTTAAAATCTCTTGATTCTACCATTCTTCTTCTACTCTCCATCTCCATCCTTATTTATTAGCTCTGTGATTTAGCTCCTTGCCCTCCTACCTGCTGCTCGGTGAGAATCTAGTAGAAGATAAACCGTGTTGAGGTTAAAATTGAATGTTCTCCACATTTCCAAAGAGAAACTGGGATCAGCCCTAACACTTACAATGCCTTCAAAAGACTTTAAGCTAATGCTTATTCGATCTGTGACTGTGTCTCAACCACTGAAATGTTTACCACAGCAAAGAAGAACTTCTTAAACACTTTGGGCCTTCAAGTAAACTAAGGAGCATGAGAATATATAGTGTGTGTACAGTGATACGTTACAATGTATACCATCTATGACTTTGTGTTTAAACTGTGCAGTTCAATCTTACCACCTTACAGAGATAGTAGCATTTTAATATTTTGGGCTTCAAACTGATGCCACAATGGACAAAAAAGCCTTACTTACATTAAATAATACAGGTTAAGTTTAGGGAAAAAATCACAAAAATGTGAAAACTGCGAAACTTCCCTCCAAGTTACCTGAAAATGTAAAATTCCCACCTTGAAATAGTTCGAAATTGCTAGGGCATTGATAGTGTGGTGAGTTTTTGAATAATCTTTCAGAAGATAAATATTTAAATGAGGAATGGTGAAAACTCATTTTTAAAAGCAGATTTAATTTCCCTGTTGTCCATTCAAGATCAGGTCCTGTTTGTACACTGTTGTATAATCTTAATATTTTCCAGCTTTAGCCAGTGCTCGCTATGAAGATGTTTGGCAGCCTGCTAGAGAATTAAGGGGGTATCTAGGCTCTAAGCAAAGATAGATTTAAAGAAATCGGAATACCTTTTGATTAATAACATTTTATCAATATGAGATACAGTAAAGCAGACTAATCTGGAGTTGCAGTTGGTAATGGTTGCTTCTTATAGTACTTCCATTTATTGATGCACCAATATTATTATCATGTTGCCTTCAAGCAGAAAAAAGCTGAAAATGTTTGTAGATTAAACCTCACTAACTAAAACAGTAGAAATCCTCGATACAATATTTTTAATTTCCTTTGTTTTGTTTTTTCTTTTTTGTATGCTTTAGAAAGGGTTATTCTTCGAAATTACTAAAGTTGAGTTATTTTTTTTAATCAAGAAGTTTTATACCAAGATTGGCTCCAATAACCCTTATAAACAGGCTCATCTAGAGCCACAGAAGACTTAGTATAAAATGTGCAATGTAATTTAGGTTTGTTGTTATGACAAATGCAGGCTTCCTGTGTTAAACTTGTGGATTTCCCCCTTTTTTAAAAGGTCAGGTTGTGTCTGCAGAGATTTAATGAGCTTTTACTGTGCAAAGATCTCAAGGTCAACAGACAAAAAGGGCATCACAATAGGTTTTTGTAATAAAAGGCTAAGAATAAAAATAAATACAGGCTTAAGACTAGTGAAAACAAATGAACACGCTGACTTTTTTGATGAGAAACATGGTCTCTTTCTTTATCTTGTTACACAGTGAGAAAAGCAAAGCACATAAATGTGTGCTTACTCACAGCTGAATCCTTTGTTTTTGCTTTTGAAGATTTTTTTTTTTTTGCCTTTAAGTAGTTGATGGTTTGTTGGCAATGGTCAGAGACTGCATGTCAGTGGAGATTTGTGTTTTGTTTTTTTAGTTTGAAGACCATCTGGTACCCGTTGATTAATGGCTTGTGTTTCTTCAGGTATTTTTGTGAACTCTGTATCCTTTAACCATCTCTTTTCTCTGCAGGGGGATCACACGTGGGCCACCATGTTGGGACAGAGCGTGCGGTTACAGCCAGTTCCCATCCAGAGCCTATCGGAGCTGGAGCGAGCCAGGTTACAGGAAGTCGCTTTGTACCACCTGGAGGAGAGGGACCTGGACTTCAAGATCAGCATCCCTAAAGGTAAAAGGGAAGGACAGAGATGGTGTTTCTAAAGGATCTGATGGTGGTTGAGTGTAAACTGATTTCTTAACTGGATTCCTTAATATTTTCCAAAGTACTTCCATTCATTTTTAGCACTCATATAGTACCTTTATTGATTTGGAGGCTCAAATATTCAAGACTTTAAAAAAAAAGGTAATTTAAGGCATACATATTTGATCTTTACCCGAAAGAATTTGTTCTGATGGAATCTGGGACTAAACAAAAATTGGCGTCATGGGAGTTGAACCTTTGTCTGCCTTATCATCCTGAGAACTGGCCTATTCATTTATGTCCTCTGTAATGGGGATTTGTTTATAGTCTGTATCTTCTGACTTATTTGAACTACCCTACTAACTCCTGAGGCACTAAACAGAGGACATCCTGGGCTTTATATTAATATGTCATGTGTTTGGGTGGCTTCTTTTAGCTCCAAAGAGGCAGAACATCATAAATAAAGTTAAATAGGAATATTCTTTTGTCCTTGGTTCTCAGGAGGATATAAAAGTCTTGAGGATTATCCTTCTTAGTCACATCTACCTCCTTATTACCTTGGTTTCATAGTATTAGGTTTTACTGGTTTTGAGGCATCAAAATGATTTGGTTTGATTTTTTAAATAAAAAAGCAGCATTATTTGAGTTAAAAGACACCCTTTGTTACATTGACCATCATGGAAGGATAACCTGTAATTTCTGGGTTTCCAGGCTGCCAAGTCCTACACCGGCTTACATTTTATTGGTTTACTGAAAATGGGCGACTTTAGAAAATCTAAACTATAAATAGTAAATAAGTTACTTAAGTAATTGTGGAACATAACAAATAACCCCAATCTGAGAGAAAATCAGTTTCCTCTGACACATAATTGAGAATGCTGTTAAGTCACATGCGAAAGTAATTGTTTGGAAATGGGCCTAAACTTTGTGTAACTTGCAAAGACATGTGATAGCCAGAGTTCAAGTGTTGCCAGAGTATTTTTTGTGTTTCTGTTGATTTCTGAAATAGCATTTAAGTTGCAAATCAGTTTTTAAATTTGGCACAATCCCCTGTAGGGAAGGCAAAGAGGTAAAGGTTTAAAAACATGAAAAAATGCTATGTCCGGCCATTAAATTCATAGGGACAGGGCATGATAGTTACTCCATTACAATAGCTTCCCAGAATAGTGAAACTGATGAAGGACAACTTTGTTTTTGTGACCATTGCTGCCAATTTAATGCAGTTAAATTTCATTAGTCAGTCTTGGTGGTGAGGCGGATTGGTCTCCTGGAGGTTTGAGAATAAAAGTTCACGATGACCTGGTGAGTATAGCGCCAGTTTGGTTAGCCACACTCAGCCAAACTTAGACTGAACTGCCCTAAAGCAAAAACAACAACTCAGTCTGCCAGGGGAGCCATAACAGCCTGTCTATGAATCTGAGGAATGAGCATTAGGCAGGAAGACATTAAGGATCATCGGGAACGGAATCCAGGGTGTCAGATTGATAAGGAAGGGGAAAGGGAGGCATGGTGATTTCTGTTAATTGACTCTTTATCTCAAATAGCATTGGATAGGGTCATGATTTGTCTTTTTCCCACCGCTAGGGGTGATGATATGAGATTATTATTCACTTCTTAAACCACCGACCAGTACTGCTGTTTCCAAGTCATAGTCTAGCTGGTATTGTTTTGTTTTTGATTTTAAACTTGTGCAGCTGTCCTAGTGTGAGTCATTATGGTAAAATGTGCTATGGTAGACACCTGTTGCAGCAGGAACTCCCACAATTGTGGACGAATTGTTGAATGTTAATACACTTGATTTATGCAGTAGTGTTGCATAAACACTGCTTTTACAGGGGTGTAGGTTTTCCAGATATGGCTATTTAGTTTTCGTGTAACAATGTAAAAATGGTGACTGATGAAGCATAGGTTCAAATGTCAGCACATTAACAGGGGTTGTAACCTGTGCGTTGTTCCACCAAGTATGTGGATAGAGACTTGGCACACATGTGTACACCTTATGGGTTACTTGTAATTTAATGAATTAGCTCTTCCAAACTATACATGACTATTTGATATTTGTGCATGTATATTTCCATTTTCACTTTCGCACGATTTCGTTCCCCGCCCTCATTTATACCTCATCCTCTTCCTTGACTCAAACTTCCTCTCCTGAACTGACACACAAAAACACGCATAAATATTTTTTTAAAGAAGCCAGCTAACCAACAATAAAAGCTGGTTATAAGCTAACATTATCTAACGCTAGCTAACATTACCTAAAATTATGCCAGCTAACGTTAGGCTCGAGTAGCTTAAAAATCACACTTTACACTTATAAAAAGTTACATTCTCACATTGCATCAGTTTATTGAGTGAGTATCCGGATACAATAAGGTTTGATCTATTTCAAAGAAAGTTTCACCAGTGCTGGCTAAAAGCAGCTAACAGTAACAAAAACAACAGCTAACAGCAGCTCTTAGCAAGAGAAAAGTTAGCAACTCACATCAGTATCGCTGTCATCAGACAGAACAAAAAAGACATGGACACAAATTGTTGACTAATGGAAACATTAGACTGACAGGCTATACTTACTTACAGAGGAAGGTGACCACTGTGTCAAGGGTTATGGACTTGAATTGGGAGGAGTAAGAAAACCAAAATACAGTGCAATCTGCTGTACACTGACATATACTGTTGATATTAACTGTATCTGAACTGAATTGTAAAGGTGGTGGTGAAGGAGACAAAGTGATATAGCAGTGTTTCATGTAGTTTAAATTAATTCTTGCCACACTGAGTTGCCCAAATTCAGGCTTTGGTGGTGCTTGGTTTTCTTAGTCTTACATCAGACCTACATGTAAATCTTGTGTACCCTTTTGAACTCTGAAGGACTCAATCCATCTAATAAAGTGGGCTAGATTCACTAATAAACTGGAAATTCCTCCCACACCTCACAGACTGCAGACCAGGAGGTTTCCTCTTGTGTTTATTGAGGCTGGAAGGGTCAGTGAGGTCAGGAGGATCACTGGGGCTGATGCTGAGGAAATATGGAAATATTCGACTGGTGTCTTTGTATGATCAGGATCTGTTGGTGGCTTTTCGCCTGTGAGACCAGCTGCTATGTAAGCCTCTTTTCTCAGACTCAGAAGCTCTCTCCCATACTACTGTTCTCTTGCAGGGTTATTAACCCTTCGACCTCCTCAACTTTGACCATGTCGCTGATTGAGGCTGGGTATACTTAAGATTTCAAATAAACAGTGGAGCTCAATTATATCAAGGGCTTTACAATTCCCCTTGAGTATAAATTGGGATACGACCACTTTACTTCTGCAACTTTTCACAATGCATGCATGCACCAAAATGGGCCAACAGGCCCTTGTGGAGATTTTTTGTAAACAAAATTCCTGTGTTAATGAAAAAAAATAGAAGTGTAATTTAATTCACCTTAATTTCATGCCTAAAATTATCCAAAGCATGAGTGGGGAATTCATTTTTCCAATGGCCCACATAAGAAGCTTGGACTGTTGTAGAGAGCCGCACTTATCGGAGCGGCCCTCCACAACAGTCCCAGTTTCTTACAACATAACTATTAACTATTTACAATCCACACATGAATACATGGGGAAAAACATTCTCCCATTTTCTGCGTCGTTTAAAGTCCCATGAGGTTTTTATAGGTTCCACTACATGAGACCTTCTAAATTAGCTGCTTTAACTTGAGCATATTTAAATAAAACAATACCTGCATTGCCCTTTTTACCTGCAGGTTTTATACTGGCCTCATGTTCTAGCTGTGATTCAATCTTCACATAAACGATGGATGTGGCTGCCTGAAAATTGCCATAAACGTCAAATCTGTGGTTGCCAAAACAAACCCAGCTGCACAGAAATATAGACAAAATCATCTCCAGCCTCCTCGCCCTTCATCTCAATAAACTTTCTCAATGAGTTTACGGTCTCAGTTGTTAGTTTAAAGTCTTATTTAATAAAATATTTGTTCATTTAGTAAATTGTGGTCACTATTACAATGAAATAGAGGAAAAACAGGATACGCAAACAGGCACATCTAACGATAACCAAATAGCTAACCCTTGGTTGGTCAGATTCAAAAATGCCCAGCATGAGATTTTCTGTCAGGATCTCTTTGTTCATCAGGAGACATCAAGTGGCCATCTTTTAAAGTCTATTGACTGCATTGGAGAGCTGGTAACACCAGCTGCACTATTTTTTAATATTCACTTAACAAATAAATATGCTCAAATATATGATGTATGATTTCTTTTCTCTAAATGGATCGGATTGAATGTTTAAAGTTTGCTAGGTGTCAGTTTTCTTTTCTCATTAAATTTGCCGGTCCGTGCTGCAGCTCAACAAAGTGTGCCTTCTAAGCTGTATTTTTTTTGTTTTCCTCACTCATTGTTTGTAGCGGTGACAACATAAGGAGAGAAGAACCCAGCACTGGACAGAAACGTTCAAGACATCTGTGGATGTTTAAACTTTCTGCATTTGACTGATCTACAAAGTTCAGGACCTTTTGTTGGAGGTCTTTAGATGTTTAAATCAGCTTCAAAAGTTTCGAATGTGCGGGTGTTTTGGTTGTTCACTGAAGTATCTGGGTATCTGTACATACAAGGCTTTGTTTGAAGGTCTAGTCACTCGCTAGATGTCCACTTTTTGGATGTCTGACAAACATCTGAGGCATCCAAAACAAACTCAAAGTCTATTTCTTTCAGCAGCTCTTTCGGATTTTCACACATGTCCAAAATAAGTATGTGTGGTGGAATTTAGTGTGAAGACGCCCTGGAAACTTCTGACTTCAGGCAACACATATTGTGATTACCCTTGTAAAAAGAGAACATTTTTAGCTATGTTTAGCACAAGATTAAGCATCTGTAAGTGAACTTCTACGTCAATGTTTTGCACTAATATAATGGAAATTTGTCCAGTAACCTTTTAATGATGTTATGACATAAAACGCTACTTTTGCTCATCTAATGTTATCATTG